TACAGGGGGGATTCAAAACATAAAAATGCATATAGAAAGTAGAACTTTTTCAACGTAACTTTTGAAAGTGTTCCGGAAGGTCTGACACTTTTATATATATCTTAAATTAAAGCTAATGTAATTTACTTTATTATGCGAAAAAAAAATTTCGGACTTTATTTTATCTTCACGGTGAAAATGGCTACCAAATGCTATTATTGTGTGAAAATTTTCGATTTTGAATTTTACATTTAAACTTTATTATGCTATAACTTTTTGAAAAATGTATGGATCAACATTATTTTTTTATGAGAAATAATATTTTTTAATAATCCTCATTCGACATACTGTTTTTTTAAATCGGACCATTTCCCTAAATACAGGGGGGATTCAAAACATAAAAATGCATATAGAAAGTAGAACTTTTTCAACTTAACTTTTGAAAGTGTTCCGGAAGGTCTGACACTTTTATATATATCTTAAATTAAAGCTAATGTAATATACTTTATAATGGTAAAAAAAAATTTCGGACTTTATTTTATCTTCATGGTGAAAACAGACATTAAACTTAATAAAAAAAATACGATTTTTGTAAAAAAATTCTTTTTTATATTTTTAACTTTATAATGCTATAACTTCTCGAAAGATGTATGGATCAATATAATTCTTTTTTTTGTAGATGCATGATGTCTTTACCTATCATTTGGTATATTTTTTTTATAAATCTGACTTTTTACCTGCCTACAGGGGGGGATTCAAAATGACAACTTTTTCACAAAAAATTGACTTTTTCAACTTAAATTTTGAAAGTGTTCCGGAAAGTCTGACACTTTTATATATATATTAAATTAAAGCTAATGTAATCTACTTTATTATGTAAAAAAAAAATTTCGGACTTTATTTTGTCTTCACGGTGAAAATGGCTACCAAATGCTATTATTGTGTGAAAATTCTCAATTTTATTTTTTACATTTTTAACATTATAATGCTATAACTTATTGAAAAGTGTATTGATCAATATAATTTTTTTATGGGAAATACTATTTTTTAATAATCCCTTTTTCATTCGACATACTTTATCTTAATCAGGATATTAATAATGAACTAGCAGATCATGTAGCTTTTGGAATAGTCCATCAATTTTTTAAAATTAAACACTATCTAAAGATTTGCATCGAAGCGNTTAAAATTAAACAGTATCTAAAGATTTGCATCGAAGCGTTTTTTTTTTATAGTGATTTTAATCACTGTCAGATAGCATTATACTTGATCCATCTATACCACGTCACCACTGTGCCGCGACCCCCCTGTGCTGGGTTTTTTATATTTGTAGCCCCCCATATATAGGGAAATAGTCTGATTAAAAAAAAAAGTATACCCAATGAAAGATGTATAAAAATATTACTTCTCATGAAAAAATTTTATTGATCCATACATTTTTCAAAAAGTTATTGAATAATAAAGTTAAAAATGTAAAATACAAAATCGAAAATTTTCACACAAAAATAGCATTCGGTAGCCATTTTCACCCTGAAGATAAAATAAAGTCCGAAATTTTTTTAAAATAACGTTTAGTCTTAATAAAAATGTGTTTTGTTAAATATTGTCTGACATTATGAATATTGTGTTTAATTTGTATGAAAGTTAAAATTTTGTGTAGTTTATTATTTCATAAATTTTTTGTCAACGTTTATTTTGTCTTATCTATAATATATGAAGCTGTAATTTTTGGTAAGTACACTTGGTATCATTATGATGTACAATCTAAATTAAATTTTATCTTTTTAGAATGTACTTGCTGTTATTTATTTATCAATCAAGTCAAATACACATTATTTATTTGTTCTCTATAGGAAATTGTAAAAGATCAAATAAACTGAGTGAACTATCTGTTTTCATATAGTCTGTGTTTATACTTAGTACTCGCAAATACCTATTACAGCATTTGTATGGGCTCGGTACAAAGTTTTTGTTTATATTTTGTTGGTTTTAATACTGATTAAGTGTAATTTTTAATAAACAAATAGAAATTTTTAGAAATTTTATTTTTGACATGAGAAGAAAATATCAATCGTCAAGTGAATTCGTTAGCCAAGAATATAATTATTATGAAGCAACAGAGTTTCTCAAAGACATATACATATTTACACAAGAATTATCAAATAAAATTTTGAACACAATGCGTTTTTTTAAGGCGAATTGTGTTTTTGAATGATATTCTGATTTGTATGATTTTATGAAAATTATTGAAAAATTAATCAGCATTGATACCGTATCGGATTGTTTTAATAATTATCAAGCCATATATGAAATTTTCAGTGAGTTTATGGAGAAAATTAACAAAGAAAATTATGAGAATTTAGGTTTCAATAAAATACCTAAAAAATAATCTCGTTTTTTTTAATTGTATTAAATACTTTGTCAAAAAATTTTCATTTATCCGTTATTTTTTAAATATATGAATTAACTAATTATTATTTTCTGATTGATTCAATATAATTAAATGATACATCAAACTTGTTAAATTACTGAAATAATATATATGTATTTGTTGAATAAAGTGTGACACTCGTGTATGACATGATCGAACGTGTTCATGCCACGTCCGGCCGTCGTTCCTTCCTGAATGAGCATCATAACCTTTTTTGTACGTATACAGTATACTTGTGTCGTAATATGCCTAATGATTTGCATTGCGCATCTTACATTTATCAATGAAAAATGTATAATCTGTATTTTATATTACTAGTATATAAACAAATAATTAATTTAACTGTTATAACATATACACTGTTGTACACTAGCTATTATATATGTATATACATGTTAAATTGATTATTGTATACTATACATCTTATCTTAAAATTAACTATCATGTTATGTTCAATTTAATACAATAAATTGAGAATCACTAAAAGCGCTGACGACAACAACACATGAAGGGGTAATTAAAATAATATAAAAAAGTTTAGTTCTGCTTGCCCATCAGTGAGCGAGCGGCTCAGTTCTCTCTTCTTTTTGAAGATCTGAATTCAATAAGGAATTCAGAATTCTTCTATCTGATTTATTTTGAACAAACTAGCCTCGACCCCGTGTTGTTGTCGGTACATTTTAAAGCGATATCAAGTACAATTATTTTTGCGTCAATACTTTATATATTTATTAAAAAGGAACAGTATAAATCTGAACGTAAGATATATGAAAGAAGTAAGTAAATTTATATTAACCCAATTATTTAGAATTAATAACTTGAGTAAAGAATGATAAAGCAATAGATTTTTTAAACATCATTTAATTTAATTATTAATAACTAGTTAGTCATGTACTTCGACTGTGTGTCAGATAGGAGATCAAGGCCCCGGCCACTACAAGTATACCTCAGCGTTTAATATCTCTATGAGAGGAACTTAATACATATCCTTTTATATCTACTTGACTTTACTGTTCCAACCCCTCGGACTCTACAACCCCGATAGAGCCTCGTTGCTCCTGAATTGACCAAATCCCCAAATATCCAACATTGGTCATAAATCCCCAAACAAACTTTTTGCTTATTTTTGTATTACTACACTTGTTTTGCGCCTCTATGATTTGATAGTCGTTCCTCAACAAACACATATTGTTCTTTCTTGTCTCGTATACACAGCAAACGCTTCCTCGTGTTTGTGCTATCGATCAGCCATAGTTCGCCATATTTTTATTGTTTTGCTCGTTTGGTTACATCTTTGACGAACTTGTAAACTCCGGTCGTACGAGGGCATTTGTGTACATGCTTTGTATCTTTATATCCGTGTGAAACGACCTTTCTCGCATTTTACGGGCTAGTGGCATCGTTCACGTCATCATCATTTCAACTCTCACATACAGTCCACACTCACCGCCATTAATCATCATCTTAAATTATACAGCTAAGTTTTTAATTGTTTGTTTTATTTATTTCATATATTTTCTAATTTGATCATAGCCGATTAATCTATGTCGATCAATCTAGAATGTAAGTTATCCCCCCCTTTCCCTTTATTTATTAAGAGTTTTTAATTTGCAGAACTGTAATATATAGATTCGTATTTTGTACATTCAAAAGCAGGTTTTTTAGAAAAACCTATTTTCTTAGCCCCTCATATTTTCTGTATTTTGTTTTCTACAAATAAAGAACACCACTGCACAGTAACAGGCAATCCCCTTCAATATTAAAGGGCTGCTCGTCACAGAATTTGTTCTGGAAAGTATACTGACACTTTTATATATATCATAAATCAAAGATTATGTAATATACTTTATTATTGAAAGAAAAATTTCGGACATAATTTTGTCTTTGCAATGAAAATGGCTACCGTAAGTTACTTTTTTTTTTTAATCGGACAATTTTCCTTTTTACAGGGGTGATTCAAATTTTAAATATGCGTATAGAAAGTAGAACTTTTTATACTTATTTTTAATTAAAATATATTGACTGATTATTAATATGTCACCTAATAATCAAACATAAATATTTATTATATTAATAAGAAGAATTTTGTTTTTATTTAGGCCATATGTGAAACTCTAATTCCAAATTTTAAATCGGCGCAAAAATGGGTTATACATAAGGAAATAGAAGATCATGTTGTTGTCCACTAATTTTTAAAATTAAACACTATCTATAGATCGAAGCGTTTTTTATGATGGTGATGTTCATCACTGTCAAATTAAATCTACACTGGATCCAACTATGTCACGTCCCCACTGTACCGCGGTCCTACTGTGCTGGTTTTTTTTCTTTATTAGTGTGCATTAAATGATTACAAAATTTTTACATCCACTGTTCAAGCACACGCCAAAGATAATGGTTTTATATCAACGACAAAGTAAAGATATATTTTAGATGTTGAAATAGAATTCAATATTTTTAATTTTGATTTATTTTGAAAAATATTTTTTAATTTTAACATAAAGATCAATTAAGATTAATATACATTATTATTTGAAATATATACTTATTATTATCATTAAAATAAAATTAGAAAATTAATAAGAGAACGTGCACTAACATTAACGCGCCTACACAAAGTCCCGCCAGCTGTTAATTTAATGTTAATACAGATGTACAAAGTTTCGACACTAGTTACTGTAGCTCACGTTTAATTAACATGGTACACAATCATAATTTTACATTAAAATATAAAAGTTATGAAAAGATAATAAAATATAAAATAAGTATCCATGATTAAACTTATTATAAAATAATATATCAATGCAATGTTAGAATTATTAATTCGAAAATCACGCGATTTTAAAGGGAATTTGACAGCGTCATATTCTGGCAATTCTATTCGATTTCACAAAAACACAAGGCGATACAGATGAGCCTTCATAAAGAAAACACGAATTATGATTGAGCTACTTCTAATTCACTTTTCCATGAACACATATATTTGGAGTGGGTCGTTTTTAGTTTCTTTAGTTTTTGAAGGTTGGAATTATATTACTTTTGTACAGAGCTCTTAAATTAATTATAAATTCATCATAAGTAAGATAATCTCCATTATTAATTTAAAATAAAATAAAAAAATTCTATCTTCATTTATTTTTATTGAGAGGAATGATATTTTTGTAAATGCAAAATATGCATTTAATTAAAAACTTTGATTGATATTGTTGAAAAAACAGTTTAGCTACATCAATTTTGTCTTCATCATCATTTCTTTGGGTAATGTCAATAGAACTATCACTTGAATTTAAATTTACTTTTAATAAATGAAGAAAACCCAATACCCATTTGAATATTTTATTAAATTACGTTGAATAATTAAAATTTACACTCCATATTGTAAATTTATTGGATGTAATCATAACTGTTTTAAGAGTTTCAAACATTTTTTGAGACTTTATAAATGAATTATGGAATTGTTTTAAACATTCATATTTTTATAATATCCAGTTTGCATGTGTATTGCACAAATGTAGTATGATAGATAATAGTACATCGTAATTTTTAATTATTTTAGTGAATCTGCATCGCAAAAATTGTGTAGTATGTTCTCTTATTATTTGAAAAATTGTGTCATTAATTCGGTGTTCTTTTAAATAGTCCACACCTATTTTTTTATCGTCATAAATAATTTCATTGTGATTCATATATTTCCATTTGGCTTTTAGAAAATTTATATCTAGAGCTTTTATTCCACATTTTCTGAAAATGTTCATATCGCGTGAAGGTACAAGTGTACAAAAAAATAAGCAATAAATACTAAATTAAATTATTTTATTAGCATATATTACAATACGCTTAGAAATTAATGAACTTGAAAAAAATCATAGGACTATCTGTCCTATGATATTTTTTACTTAAATAACGAATTATAATTAATAAAATATGGATATGAAGGATGTATATTTACCAAAACATTATCAAAAAAGAATTCATATGTGTTTTATTTACAAACACCTCAGTGACTTAAATTGGATTAACGAGGAAAAGATAATCCTAAAAATATCACAACTACAATTTTATTGATGATATAAAGTTTTCATGCTAAATCATTTTATAGTTACATATTTGGTTATCATAACAATTAGTGTTACATTCATTTTTGATTTTGTTATACATTTAGAAATACTTTACCAACAAAAATAGTTAATTCATATATAAATAATAATTAAATTTTCATATTGTAAATTGGAGTTTACCCCATCACTTCAATTTAAAATACGTCAATTTAAATTTAATTAATTTAGTCTGTTTTGTTGATATTATTGAAAAATATGAATTCGATGCGAAGCTGAGAAGGTATTAATTTTACTATGATGTGTTTTATTTTTTTTTTTTGTGTCTGTATACGCTCAATCTCAGTTCTCACTGAACCGATTTTGTTGAAAAATATGACAAAACATCACAAATCGTATCTAGTCGAAGAAATTACCCTCAAAATTTAAAAAAATTTCCCTCGTTCTCCGTAAATGGGGAAAACCTCCAAAAAAATTTAAAAATCGCTAATTTTTGAAACTTTCCCAATTTTTTTTACTTAAAACTTCCATTACTTTTTCAAAAACCAACAAATCAATATAAATTTTTTTTATAGATGCTTGATGTCCTTACCTATCATTTGATAAATTTTTTTTATAAATCTGACACTTTATCTGCCCACGGAGGGCGATTTAAAATGACAACTTTTTCACAAAAAATTTACATTTACACTTAACTTTTGAAAGTGTTCCGGAAAGTCTGACACTTTTATATATATCTTAAATAAAAGCTAATTTAATGTAATTTATTATGAAAAAAATAAATCTCGGACTTTATTTGGTCTTCGTGTTGAAAATGGCTACCGAATGCTATTTTTGTGTGAAAATTCTCGATTTTATATTTTACATTTTAGCTTCGATGCAAAGCTGAGAAGGTATTCGTTTTACTGTGATGTGTTTTTTTTTTTTTTTTTTTTTTTTTTTTTTTTATTTTG